CCATGAGGAGGTAGTTACATGTTGAGTTCCACCCGACCATCCTTCCACTGGGCAATAGAATTACTGGATTTTCTGTTGTTTCTTAGTATTAAATTTTTTCATGATTTTGCAAGATTGAAGTTTTGCTTTATTGAATCCCTTTCTTCTGCGATAGCCACAAACAGTTGCTGAAGCTTCTGTTACTATTTTAACATGCCTTTCAATTACTTGTTACAAAGATGTGTAATTAATTGACGCAGGGGTAACTCATTTGCATGTAACAAACAAATTAACCAATGAACAGGTCTTCCAAAGTGCAAATCGAGAAGCCGCATAACTCCAGCTTTTTTCCAGTATTGACGAATGTGCCGTCACAGCCTACAGGGACTAAATGATCAGATGAAATTTTGTTATCTTCAAACCACTGAATGATAGAATTTTTTATTCCTTCTGATGTTCCGGAAGGAGAAATGTGATCCATGAAAATTGATTCAGGTTCACTAACCAAAGTTATGTGCTGTTCCATGACTACACGTTTATAATGTTTTTGCCCATTTTTAATGACAATTTTAGTTGTATCTTTTCAATCATCAGAGCAGATAGATTTAATACAATTTGATTCATCAGAAGTTAATAATATTTCTAGGTATTTTTCTCATTCTCATCATATCTTGTTTTTATAGACAATGTTAACATTGTCATTTTCTTGAATACTGCCCATATCTTCCAAAATAGCTGAAGTAAGGGCTGCAGCAGCTCTATCCGAAATACAGTACCTGTCAGCTTCTCTCACTACTGTTGGAAGCAGTGCCCTCATTTGTTTATTTATTTTGGGATTTAATTGTTGAAAGTTCAGTATTAGCAACATCAGAATCTTCTGAGCTTGAAACCATTAAGTCCTCGTGATTAACTATTTCATTTGTTGCAGAGATGATACACCTTTTTTTTTTCAAACTTTGATTCGCTTGTGGCAGTTGAAGATATAATTGGAGGAGTTCCATACTGCATAAGATTACCGTATTTGACGGCATATAGGACGCACTTATTTCCCAAAATTTTGGCTCAAAAAATCGCCCTGCGTCTAATATGCGAAGTTGAGACCTTCCGCAGGCTAATCTTCTTCCTAACGCTCACTATCCTAGCATACAATCAGTACAGCATTCCAACTACGAAATAAGAGTGTAAATATTAAAGTGTATCCCCATTTTCTTACTGTGTTTTAGTTTATGTTCAAGTGTTTTCTGCTTGTGTAATGTGCTGTTAGATTACTTTCACCAATATATGCTTAAATACACTAAAAACTTTTTTTCCTGAATCTGACCTGCTGAAATGGGGGTGCGTCTTATATACCCATGCGTCCTATATGCCATCAAATACGGTAATTCTTATAATAAAAGGCAACACCCTGCCAACTAGAAATTACAAAATAAAGAAAAGAGAAAAAAGGATACATACATACGTTATTAATGATCATTGGTTACCTCAGCCTGGGTGTTTTAATTGAGTATTTATTATATTGCTTTGATTTTGTTAAAATTAGAGACTAAGCAACTACATTTAGTGTATTAGCTGCTCTTGAGTTTTACTTTTTAAACTAAATAATTGTGTGTTAAACAAATGTTTACTAATTTATATAACAGTTCTGAAAATACTTGGGAACCACAGGAACATCTTGACTGTCCAGACCTTATAGCAGAATTTGAGAACTCTAGGAAAAATAAAGACAAAGAACAAAGTGATGACAAAAAAAGGAAAATGGATGAAAATGATTCAGATAATTCAAGCCAGAAGAAGAGGAAAACTGATGTAAGGAAGATAATTTTATTGTGATTCACATTTTACTAAAGTTAATTTTCTCGTTAAAACTTGCCTCTATACACTCTTTTATGGCTAAACTCTCAATTATGCAGTCTTGATCTAGCTATTTATCTAACTTTTTAAAAACTAATTTGAATTACATTTTATACACATATTTATAGACTGACAGAGACCTATAACTTTCTACATGCTACCAGATATTATCATGTAATAATACTCGATCAACACAACGAGAAAAATTTGGAAGGCTCTAGTAACATGATGCAATAATACAACAAGCACCAGTTCACAACATTTGAACTATGCAACATATGATTCATACACTGTTATGTAAAAAAACCTGTGATAAATAATCACTTCTAAAAATAACTAAGTTTAACACTCGCATTAACGTAAAAAGTCGTATATATCCATCAAATTCTCAAAAGAAAAGTATTTTTAGATTAGCACTAAAACTTGTACATGCAAAGTTCAGCATGTGAAACTGTACAATGCTGATACATTTTCAGAGGATGTTAATATTTCAGGTTAATAAAATCCATGGGGGAATACAGGAGTTTGTAGAGGGATGCATCTGAAAGATAAGCACCAATAAATACTGGTATTGAGTTGGACATCAGATGTAGCATATTTATCAATACTTTCTATGATACTTCAGTTGTAACACCCCATATTTATAGTTGTTTGTGTGACATAATTATTGATTTATATATATATATTAGATATGCATACACACACACACACATTCCTGCCTACTATTTCAGAGAAATATTTTTTATTGAAAAGTTAGTGGTGGGTAATTTAAAGATCACTAAGTAGGTACTACTTACAAGTTATAGAAGAGTGTATTAATGATGATAATAACTTCCAATCAGGGTTATCTCCACACTTAGAACAAAGCTGAAAGTGAACCTGGCCATCAGTGTAGTTAATTAAATATATATTTTTTGTAAATATATACGTATAAATATTATAATGCATTGTTTCATCAGTTGAGTACCTTCACTGTTAACAATACATCTTTGACCATAAAGTGAAAATTAATTCAAGAAATAGAAGTATCTAAACGTTTTTGAAGACATATTAAATCCTGGTCTTGGACTGGTTTATTGTCTTTGTTTTTTGTAATGTCATTTGAAGTCAATACATTAAGGTTCTGAGTACAATATCTCCAAGCTTCACTTACAACCCATAAAGAATCTTGTGTATCTGTTAAATGCTTGTGTAGACAACATCATCTCCTTTAGGTGTAATGTATGAAGCATGTAAGTTTCTTTTTTGTCTGTTTTTATTCAAAGTATTAATAAATGCAGGTGTTATTATTTAGCAATATTTATGCTTTATTTTCTTCTTTGAATCTCCTTGTATATATCTACACACTTTAGTGTTTCAAATATGTAAGTACAATTAAATTGAAATTTGTTGTAAATGTATGTTTTTTGTGTACATTAGTTTCGTGTAATGTATTCTCACTGAACGTTTGTTCGCGAGCTTCATATATGTTAGGAATTTCTACAGTTCACGTAGTAAAATTCACGAAGGATGTTTGTTCATTAAAATGTAATTTCTCTTGTTAAAAAAAATTCTAAATTTTCATCTTGAAAAAAAGAAGAAGAAAAAAAGCAGTTTTCTTGCTTTGTTAGAACTGCTGTAATTTAAGTGTATATCAATTTCATAGGATGATAATAAGCCTAAGGGATTTGACAGAGGCTTAGAGCCAGACAGAATCATTGGTGCCACTGATTCAAGTGGGGAGCTTATGTTTCTTATCAAGTGGTGAGTTAACTTGTCATCAAAGTGTATCTCTTGGGTTAACTTTTAATGACTTTATTTGAATCCCTATCAAATAATTTATTAATTGTAGTAGATAATCCATGAATGAAATGAAATTATAAAAGAGGACCTGAAAAATTGGTCTACAAACTACTTAGGATTCGAATAGAAACCAGTTATATGTATAAGTTTTTTAAGAATAAAATTTTACATATTTATTGTTGAGCTCATGATTAAAAATTGTAATCAGAGCTAAGAAAATTATAAGACAATTCTAATTTGGTAAAAGTAGATGGTGTACAGTGTAGCAATCATGTACAAAGTGTGTGGTATTTTAATGTTTAAGTTATAGGCTAGAAGAGTTGTATACACGGCCCAAAATATGATACGAATATCCTCTTTATTTATAAAAGTGACAAGCATCTATGCTGTTTGGTTAAAATTAGCTGTGTAGATAGTAGGTGTAGCTGATTACCTGCACTCTTTCTCTAGGTATCAGTTCTAAATAAATAAAAATTCTTTTAATTTATGTAGTGCCTTTCTGAAATGAGTTTGCCATATAATAGAGGTTTAATGATCTACACTCTCAAAATATAAAAAATAGCATTATTTTTCTTGAAAGAATGCACAACCTTTTTTTGTTGTTGTTTTTTTTTGCCATTTTCTTACTAGTCTATAGCTTAATTTTGGAATGTGAAGAACTGACTAAAAATAAATTAAGGAATGTTTCTCTCTGAAGACTGATTTAAAACTTATCTATCATGCAACTAGCCTTGAGTTTTAATATAATAATTTTGCACACAGGTCAAGGTATAAAATGCATTTTTTGTTAAAAATCAAAGCTACAGGTTCAACTTTATTTGTGCAATGTCTTCATGTATTTACACAGGCTTATAGTACTATATTAAAATAGGTATTTTCCATTTAGCAAAATTAATAGTTGTTAATTCAGTACGAATAAGCATTAGTATAAAAAAATATGCCCAGTCACAGAAGACTAACCATTAATTTACACCCTGAACTTGTAACATTAACCTCAAATTAGGTTGTTTTAATTGACCATTTTATAAAACTCCAGTGGATATTTTCTTAAAATATCTTGTCAGTAATGTAACTAATTTTTTAACTGTAAAATCTGATTTTCAAATAACCTTATTATACTATCAATACATTAAAAATAAGTGTATTGCTTTCATTCTATTGCCACAACATACTGTTATTTCCTTTTTCATATGTAGTTTTTTTTAGAGCAACTATCTAAAGAAGGTTCGTTAGATCTATGTAGAGAGCATAGTAAAGAAATTAGACGCCAACATTAGTTGGCAAATGCAACATGTCTTCACTACACAATTCCAACTTAGGCAATTTTGACACCAGAAAAAATCATGAAAAACACATAAAAATTGAAAACTGTCTATATTACTGCTTGTGATCTGCAATAAGTTATCTTTGTACCAAATCCCATATAAGTTGGTTGACGTACACATGAATAGTTCACAAAAACCCTAAATTGTGCTTTCCTTACTGAAAAATTGAGCAAAAGACAAAAATTCCAAAATGTTCTATATTTCTGTTTGGGACCTGCAGTGTCTTTGTACTTATTTCCATGTAAATTGCCTGAAATGTGGCTAAGTAATTGACCAAAACCCATAACATTATGGGTTTATTTAACCATTTGATCCCCTTAAAATGACCAAAAATAGGCATGTCCCACATTTTTGTATGTATATGTATGGCACCTGTAAAAAGTATGTTTTTACCAAATCCTGTGTAAATTTGCTGAATTATAGCAGAGTAATTGTCAAAACAAACCCTAAAATTATGCTTTTCTGTGACTTCTTGCATTACCGTGGGAGGGGGGGGGGCTGTAGAAAAGTGTATTTGTACCAAGTCTATCTTAAATTGGTCAAAAATATTGCCAAGTAATTGACCAAAAACCCTAAAATTATGCTTTTTTTGTGAGCTCTGACTCCCCCTCCTAAAAAGACTCAGAATGGGCAAGTTCAACTTTTTTGTATCTTAGATGGTTGGATGCATGAAAATTTATATTTTCACCAATTTTCATCTTGATTGCTATAAATATTGATCACACAAGAGCCAAAAATATACATTTTTGGGTTATTTAAAACTTTTGACCCCATAAAATTCATAAAAAGACCTAAATCAGGCAGAAAAAAATATTTTCTGGACCACAAGGGTTTTTCACTGGACCCCCCCACTTTTTCTATGATAATTCATGTTTTAATTTGTTTATAAGAAGCGTATTGTGTTTTAAATTAACTATATAATTTAACAAACTAATCACTTATTGATCACACAAAACTTAATTTATGTTCTATAAAACAATAAATTCAAAGGATTATCAAAATTAATTATCCAAAGTTAACAGTCATAATAATGAAAATTATCTGAAATTGGCTTCCTCAGTTTGTGCTTTCTCAGTTTCACTTTGTGAGAAGCACATAACTGTGTGACTTATAAATTATTCATAGAATTAACAAAGAAATCAAATAACTCAAATAATTATCAGTTTTAATTATCAAAAGGTAACAGTCATCATAATTAAAATTATTTGAGAGTGGCTTCTTCACAATGAGCTTCTGTCATATCATCATCTACCTTGCTTTCAGCTGTTTTGTCATCAGTCTCACTCTCTGTATCATCTAAGTCACACTCCTCTTCTAGAGCAGTTGGTGCTCAATTTTCAAAGTTACATCTGTCTTTTGTGGTCCATATGGAGCTGTTGAAGGCTGCTTTGATCTGGTACCAGCTGATCTCCATCAGTGGAAGGGTGGTTCAGGATCAAACTCTTTTACGCTTGTTGTATGTAACCTTATCCTCGTAAAGTCTGATACAGTCTCTGGTTGAAGCCCATTCCACAAATTTGTATGCACTAGTTTTTATAACCTCAATTCATGCTCTACTTCAGCACTATGTGCTTGCAGGCTGAGTACAAGATCAATGAGTGTAAGAAAGTGAGTCCTCTTGCTTGCTCTCTTTGAGTACGCCACAAAGGGCTGGTCCATCGCATGTCCTATATCTTTGAAACATTTCTAGAGTTGCATTTAAGGTCTCTGAAAATTCTATCCAGGATGATGTGATGTCTAACATTACAGGAAGATAGAGAACCTTCTTTCTTTACATTTGGAGGCAACAAATGCACTCTGATTATTGGAGACAGCATTCAAATGTGCAATCAGTGCTGAGTATACATTGAGTAGATTTTCTATTGCTATATTTGTATGTTGCACCCAATGTGTGCCTCCTACTTGTGTAGGGAGCCTTTTCTCAGTGTTTTCCACCCTTCTTGATTGGATCAGCCCAGCCCTTGCTACTAATGAATTGTGATAGTACAAGTAAATGTTCAAAAGGAACTGTTCTAAAACTTTTTGGTGCTTCAATTCTTTGGCTACATCTGTGATAGCCAATTCTACTCTCTGAACTATGCAATGTACTGGGATGATCCAACTTGCTTTCCATTGCAATGCCTGCCCAGGCTCCAAGGTTGATTGCATCCCCATCTGCAGCAAAACCAACAACATGTTGGTAAAAATGTTCCTCTGCAATGTTCAGTTCTTTAAGCACTTCTAACATTACTGTCAGAATACTTGCAGCATTTGGACAGTCTACAACCTTGCAGGCAACAAGATATACCCTAATCATCCTTATTTTGCAACATGGATGTAAAATAGTTCTACTTCCATCATGGCAGTATTTCTAGAACCATCACACATGGTGCTATAAAAGTGTGCACCATTGAGCCATTCAATCACTTCAGTCTTTGTAGTCTCTGCAATGAACTTAGTGAAAACAGAACATTGATGGTCACTGATGTAAGTTGTGCCAATATCTACACCATTTTTAGTTTGGAGTTCCATTAGCTATACAAAGTCATTAAAAGGACAATTACATAGTGCAAGCGCATGAGTTGAGCTAATTAGCCTAAGAATCCTTCCTTTCTCTGCATCTGTTATCGAGTCAAAAGCCTTTTTTGGCCTTAATTGAGCCTGGTTTTGCCTTTGCTGCATCCTGTATCCCTTGGCATTTCACATGGCGCTTTGATTTAGCATGATTGCAGAAAGCAGAAGTCTTCATATTAGAATCAGTCCCACTGAAGAAAGGTGATTTTTTTTGTCTGCATAGTCTGGCATACTGCTGACTTTGCAGTACAGCTTCCCTGTGTCATCATTGTCAACTTAATTCTAAGAGAATTCAGCTTTCTGGACAGTTTTTGTCAGATCTCCCACCAAATTCCAATGGTACGGTGCTAATTTCACACCCTGCACGTTGAATGGCACCTTGTATAAGGTTGGCCATGTACACTGTGACTCCCATCCATACACAGATGGTAAGACATCAATAAGTGCATTTTAAAGTGAAAGAAAATTGATTCATTAAAAAAAAAAAGATTCAAATATTCATAAATCAATCGTTAACTTGTAGTCAAAATCTAATTGCAATGTGTAGGTGTGTTTTATGGTATATATATTTTTTTGCTGGTGTTGAGTGATTAGGTGTGCCTATGTTAATGTTTAACTCTTGATCTGTAATAAAATGAAATTTTTACTTTGCATTGACTATAATTACCTTCTGTGTCAAAGCTGCATTGTATATTGGTCAGTGTGAAGAAGGTTAATAGTTGCAGAAATGTATTACGGATACTTTTATTTTTAATATGATGTTCACATGTTTTATCTTGAAATAACCAGTGTTTATTTAATGTACCTCAATTTAAACATATAAATAAACCATGATAGTAATAGCACTGCATGTGACTTGTTGGTTCACATATTTCAAATCATTTTAACTTACTGTACTCAATTCTATATAACACGTGAAATCCGTACATCCAACCAAACAGTAAAGCCATCCTTACTGTGTTGAGTGCAGCAGTGTGGCCCTAACAATAACATTATATTATAGATAAGTATTCAACATAGTTATGGTATCATAATTTGTTTACAGAACCTCATTTCTGTAAGAAGCTATTCCATATTCTTTATTATTAACATACCATTCCAGAAAATAATTGACTTATCCTTGAGGAAATACTCAACATTATGAGATTTTATTATGCTGCGGGGCTTGTGTTGTAAAAAAAAAGCCAATTATTCTTTAAATAAAGATTTTAAAAGTTAAATATTGGTAATGAATATTCAGGAAAATTTTCAAAAGAAGTGTTTTATGTGGCAGTGTTTAGATTGTAATGTTTTAAGCACCAGATCTTGTACAAATCATATATATATATATATGTGTGTGTATGTGTAACAAATAAATATATAGTGTCTTTTATACATACTACAGTCATTGTGACCATAGATGCATTTTCCCAGTGTCTCTGTTGTGATTTAATCATTGGAAGATAAGATGTAAGCTATGCATCACTTTTGATTGTTGTAACTGTGTTTTTTGCATAAAGTTTTAGCTGTTCCGAGGTTTTTATTTAATCATTTAGCTTTTCAATTATTGAATTTAGATCATATTGTATATAAAAAAATTTCCTAATCCCCCAGCTTGGCTACCACTGAACTAAGTTGCTGTTGTTATGCTGAAGAGTTCTGTATTGTTTGTAAAAACGTTATTCATTATATCTTTTGCAAACAAGTTTATTTTATCAAATTATAACAATAAGTTAAGTTAATAATCTTAAAATGCATTGTTATTATTATTCTTTTTTACATGGTAAATAAACATTAGTGGAGCATATCTCCAGGACTCGTGCAGTTAATTTTTTGTTTAAACTGGTCATTTTGCTAAGTCTTAGTTTCCACTTTTATGTCATTAAACTTTTAAATGCTGGTCTCATAAGCTGGCATTTCAATAGTTTAAAATTATGTCTATCTTTTCATCCGATAGAAATTACTGAAATGTGAATACTCAAAGGTATTTATCTCTGTTTGTGTTGTAGGAAAGGCAGTGATGAAGCTGACCTGGTACCAGCAAAACAAGCAAATGTCAAATGTCCTCAGGTGGTTATTAAATTCTATGAGGAACGATTGACGTGGCACACAGGTGCCAATCATGAAGATGATGCTGAAAAAGTAGCAAAACAATCATAAGATTATTATTTATATCTCTCTTGCAAGAGTATTTGGTTATATTATCTGAAATGCATTGCTGTTTTAACCACTAAGTAAATCGTTGTTGAAAGTTTTTTGTTGTTTTTTTACTGTACATACATATTATGCACCATTACTTGTATGTTTGTAAGAAAACTGACAGTTGTACTGTTATAGTAAAATAGTGTAAATGTTGTGTAGTCTTTCTGTGTACAATAAAAAAAAAAAAAACTACATGAAATTTTGTATTTAGTAGACAAGTCATAATAAGGTTTAATAAATTCTCTAGTAATGTTCAGTTTTTTTACATAATTTTTCATGTACGAGAACTAATTAGACTTCTATGTTTCTTTGTACGGTGTTAGGTTATAACAATTTTTAAGATATTTTTTCATACTAGTACCTTTCTACTGTTATTTCATTGGCCATTTTTCTTTTGTTTTTCTACATTGGTCACAAGTATTTAAGGGCAAATAAATGGACAATATTGTTTTTGTGTCTTTTAAAAGTTAGTATAGAACATACAATTGTGCTGTGCTCTGGTGAAAATATCAGTACCTATCATTATATATAAAGAATTAGTTTTGAGAGTAATGTTTTTAAAATTTTTTCATTCCATAACTGTCTATATAAAATTGTTCATATAGGCAGCATTCATTGTGAATTGTCTTAATGACCACATTTTCATAATGTCTCATTTAAAGAAAAAAGAATTGTATGCTTTTATTTGAAAAATGTGAAACTTGTTGTTGTTCTTTTATGTGTATGAGGGGGGGGGTTAGATGTTGCTAAAAAATAGGAGATAATTACTTTACAATCTGGCTTTTAATTTAGAAAGTTAAAGAAACAAGTTAGATAGAAACAAAATATTGCAACTGGTGATTTTTCACTTTTTTGTTTTCTTTCAATTATATATTCTGTGGTTTGCACTTTGTTACCACCTAAAAATATTGTGCTTGCACTTTGAGGCTGTAGGTGTGACTGTAAAATCCCACTGTTTAACTAGACTAGTGCATTAATTGGTGGTAGATGGTGTTGACTAGCTGTTCTCCTTCCAGTCTATCACATTAAAATTAGGAATGACGAGCCCAGGTAGCCCTTCAGTAGCTTTGTGTGAAGTATTCAACTACAGAAATCAAAAGATAATTAGTATAAATGATACAAAGATATTATTTTCAGCATTAGTAAATTTTCTTTGTATTTAATAAAGTTTTTTTTATGTAATATAATTTATTTTTTAAGGTATTAAAATAACCACTGAACAGGATTGGAGAAATTTGAGGAGTTTTGAAGAAATTTTACTTGGAAAGAGCAATAAAAAAAACCTTCTTAGATAATACCTGAAATAAAGAAGTGTACTAAATTTAGCATTTAAAAAACATTGAATGTACTTTGTTAAAGACTATGTATTAGTCCTGATAAAATAGAATGATAGTAGCTTACAAATAATGTGTCAGTCTTATGTTGGATTTCTTCAGTGTACTTTTCAAGTTAAAAATGAGCCTACACTATAATTGCTACTGAGTTTGTATCAACATGTTTTGAACTTTAGTACAAGAGAATAAATGTACCCAAAAGAAAGAAAAAATTCATGCAACAAAAAAAAAAATTAATTAGGCAGTCAAAAATATAATTATTTAATTTGTTAATTAGAAGAAATGATTATGCAAAAGTATGTAATTAAAGTGTAAAAACAAAGCTTAAACTAATTAGGTTAGTGCCTTTTAGACTCAGACTTGAGTTGAGTATTGAGTCACAATCCTAGTGGTTACACTGATGGGCGCTGCACCCTCGTCTGAAGATTAGCTGCCTCGATTGAGATGAGATAGAGGATAATTGTTTTATTGATGTTACCAGTGGACTTTTGGTTGCATATTTTCGTAACGATTCCTTATCTTTTTGCCATTCCTTACTACACCATACAGTATTTTGTTTTCCAGCAGTCTTTCTTTCTGAATGTCAATGAAGACCTATGTTTACTGCTTTCTCATTTCCAGTGAAGAGGAGGTTCATATCCTGCTAGTAGTGTTGTGTTCAAATTTAGCTAGATACTGAAAGTATGTAAAGAGTTCATTAAGAATCAACACTTAAAAACGTGTAAGAATAGAATTCAGCATACAAGAAAAAGTACCAGAATTTGGCTTCAGTCTTGGGAATTATTACAGAATTGAAATACTAACTATGGATAGATAAAGACCTATTTAAAATTAAATGCCAGTTGATATCGTTGCCCCAAGGGTAAACAACAAACTTAAGTCTTACATATTAATTAAAAGAGAAACCAAAATTAAAAGTTGCTTTTTAAAGTAGCAAAAGGGCTTTAGAACATTATCAGGGATCATTTGGTTATAAAGGTTGAAAAATATTAGCACCCTATGAACTTGTAGTTGTAGTTTTCTTGATAAAAACAAATGTATATGGTTTGATCTTAATAGATGATCATTCAAAAATTCTTTTTTGTAAACCTGATTTTTTTTAATGTAGCAAAGGTGTACTTTAACACAAATTTATTGAAGTTGTTTATTTTTAAGCCAATGTTGTGATGTTTATGAACTTGACTCGCAGTAACTTGGTATTATAGAAGAATACATGAATGAAATTTGTTATATAGATCTTTGTATTGGACTATAACCTTCAGTACCTGTATAGAAGAAAACCAACATAAAATTCTGATATCTGCCACCTATCTTTTTCAATACTTTTAAGTATTGTAACTTCAAAGGAATTATACATTAGTAACACACATACTTTTGCATTGCTGACTTTCAAAATTCACAAGAAAATAGTGATAACAATCCACTTTGACATTATAGTTCATTATGTGTTAATGGGAACAATATTGTATCACAATAGTAATTTTTGTCCAGTACTTTTTTTTTATATAATTAGCGGATGTATTTTGTCAGCTTTGTTACCATAACTATATTTTCCATTTGCCACAAAATGGTGTTATCATAAAAGTATTGATTTAAAAAATTTGGAGTATCATAAGGGGAATATCCCATAAAGCCACATAACTAGATCTCGAAAGGAATGTTTTTTTAAGTCACCTGGAAACCACTAGTTTTGCACATGTTAAGCTTTATGTAACTGTTTACCAAGGACACCTGAAAAACTGCTCATTTCATTAAACAATGGAAAAATCTTAGTCGTACGCCGATCAGTATTTACTTTAAACAACAACATTTTTGTTACTAAATGCAGAAGGAAAAAATATTGCGCCTGCAATCACCTGAGAATCATATTTATGTATTCTAGAGGTCATTTAAATTCCAGTAAATAGTACTTGTAAGACGGAGCGTTTAAAACTGTCAGATATACAATTCTATAACTACTTGCAATTAACGTATCTAATCTTGCTACTCAAGCTAATGTTAGAATAGACAACCTCCATCATTATATTGTGATGTAACACCATTACCTAAATATAGCTGCCATTACAACAAACGGCGAAGAAAGAAATGTAACAGAATTATGCGATTTCAGAGGCAGAATTTAAAAAAAAAAAAAAGAAGTTTGTCATCATCGGTTAACAATTATTTACATTTACTCGCACAAATATGTTTACAACTGGTCCGTAATTGTAATAAAATTCATTGCATAACAAATATTGTATTAGAGTGTCTCGGATTCTAATGTATTCAAATTGTATATGACCAGACCTATACCTAACCTAGATATGATGCTCATCAATAGTATAACAATTTTGTTTCTTGTCATTCCACCAAATGATTCGTTTTGAAACTTGTATAAATTGATAAGGTGCTGTATTTTTAAAAGAGTCCATTATGTCTCTCAAAGTTTTTTTGTTTTTTTTGCGCAAATGTTCAGTTAATTCATAGATAGCTTCACTTACAGTTGCACAGGCATTTCAAATAATTTATAAAACCGAGTAACCAGTTTTTAGTGTGTTTTTCTTTTTTTTGCGTTTCAGTATGATATCGATCATGGTTTTCTATTCTGATTTTTCAAGACACCAACTGGAGATTCGGAGCACGGGCTCCGTGTGCCAGTGCTTAGCATTTTCTGCCCCAGTGGCTCAGTAGTAAGCTTGTAACACAAAAAATCGTTATTCACTATGTTGACATTTTTCCAGGAGTTTGGGCAAATACCTACCCCTGCGGACGCCTATTTATGTCTATAACAATTAGCCCGTTATGAATATTCGATTCATCAAAATTATTTCAAACGTGACAAATGTCATTCATTATGGCAAAATCATGGTTATTATTACTTTTATCTGCTATAGAAACATAAAAGATGTAAAGTTAATAATACCTAAGTTATAAATACATCTCTATATATATAAAGCACAAAAATATGTGAGTCTGTTTGTCCCTTATCTAACTACTTTTAGACTTCTCTCATTTTGTGAGATGATAGTTTGAAACGAGGATCATGTTAATGGGGGGGGGGGGGTAACAACCCTCTTTACACCCTTGCTGTTATTGAACATTTATTATCTTTCACGTAAGTTATCGTTAACTACGCTAGCGCTCTCTGTGGAGGAATGCAATGAAGGAAAATGACCTCCACTATTGCAATAATAAATAAACTCAGCTGAAGTTTCTACTCTAATAGCCACCATAAGGCTAGAATGAAGAGTCGTTTCTGGGTTATACCCACTTGCTACTTTGACCCGTGACCTTTCAACTTCCGCCCATAAGATACTTCTGCGGCCAGTGGTCGTCTATTAATTAATCACGTAAAACACTGTGGAAGGACATTAAGAGTTAGGTGTTAAGCATGTAATAGAGATGATGATGATAAAACCTTGTTGAAACGTTGTACATTTACTGTTATGTTAAACTTATATTAAAGTTTTTCTTCATTACCCATTCAAGCCGTCTCCAGCCATTATTAGTCTCAAAGTGGGTTCCTCGTCATCGAATGTAATAGAGAGCATCCCTACCGCCAATAATTAGGCCGCTACCTCTTCCTACAAAGTCACCCTGATCCTCGCACAGTGTATATCATATTGTTACGTCTCCGTTTGTTAATTAACTTTCCGTAACTTCGTTCCGACGAAACTTTAGCGACACAAAGGAAAGAATAAACCAGTTTTATTAAGTAAGGAGAATACAACTTTACGATACACTTATTTTCAACAATCGCGCTAAAACAAACGCTATATAAACGAACGTCAATAATACTTCTGACTGCAGTTCAATTACTCACTATCTACACACACATTACATTAATCTCCCGCCACGTTGTCACCCTCTTTTATATACCAGCCTACCCTATATCTAGTAAATACTAGAGCATTCGCCAAGGTACGAGATAGTTCTAGAAACGTGGCGTCACACTAGTCATGTGACTCGCTGACGCAACAATATATTTATATGTCTTTCAAATATTACTTTGACGTTTATTAAGTTTGACTTAGATATTGTTACATGATTTTATTAATAAGAATTTATTTGGCTTTATTTTCGACACCATGTATTTATATTTTTGAATGTGTTTTTGTTAACGCTCAGATATGTGAGGTGCATTTGCTTACGTACGGTTGCCTTGGTTTCGATAATTTATTTTCAAACTAGTTAATTAATATGAAAATCACGTGATTTTGTGTTATAATTGTTATTTTTACATAAGACTAAGAGCTTTATGTACATACTTGTTTGTTTGTGTCACTGCTGTAAAATAATTCTAGCTTTTCCCGTAAATATTATATTTCGCTCCACGTTTTCTCACATCGAGAAAAATAGTTAATTGTGATACTTGTTACAGGTGATAATTATATTGTTTATATATAGGTTTGCGATTTATTACGCTCTGGTTAACAATTAAGTTAAATTTAAGCCAACTGACTGAATTGTAAACTTGTGTCAATATCATGCATAATCTCGGCTAGGATTTTTGAGGCAAAAGCTACAGTAAATTGACAGTGACAAACCTTATTACTTATATTATAAGTAGTGTTCATCGTAATTTTCTTACTTTTTAATTCTAACTGTAACTTTGAAAGCTGCGAGAAGACATTTATTTTATAATTTATGTATTGAATTTGAACTTTGAAGAAAGTACTGAACTTCGTGAATAGGATTTTTGAATGTTGTTAGCCTCAATATTATTGTTATATTGAGAGAGGTGCCTGAACTGAAGCAATTTTGAGTTTGCATATAAAATTATCTTGATGATAATCTATACGATGTAACTAATTAGAATATACGTGTGTTGGATATTGTGTTTTGTTTCACTTTCATTCTTACTCTTAGTTCACATTATATTAAAGTTTTAAACTTTAAGAGAGCTAACTAAACAGTAAAGTAAAACTGAAAGTCAGTAAAGCCAAAGAGGAGCTAACATCGTTCCAGACTGATTATTGATTGTAAAAATATGATGGAGTTATGAGGAAAAGTTTAAATATAAACATTTCATGGGACATATATATATTATATCTAATACATATAACTTTTAAAAGCCAGTTGTCTATTGGTAATGGTGTGTTTATCTGTATTGCTTAGCAATAAAATTATGACCTGATATTGTTTTCTTAAGAATATGTACAATACTTTAAATATTCACAAGGGCTGGTTTTGAATTCCACTTTTTTAAATCATTTAGTGTTCTATTTTATGTATATATACTTAGCTTGATGAAGACATTTCAATCTTGGCAAGTTTTAAAAACATTTAATTTTAAGTTAGAGATTAGTGATATAATATATATATAATTCATATGTTTTTCTTATTTCTTTTCTGTTTTCTTATTACTTTTCTGGATGAAATATATTTTTTCTTTCTTTTTTTGTACCTCTGATTAAAATCTAATATATATAAAAGTCAGTTGTCATTTTGCGAGCCATTTTTAATTTAAGGTTGCACTATCCTGATTTATTTTTGGAGCATACTTGAAAAATGTGTGATTTATTGGGAGAAAGCTTAACTGATGATGGTAGTTGAAATTAATTTTTATGTTTAAACTTTGTGATATTATTTTTATCATAAACCTCAGGCCTATGATTTTGGGTACTTTATTATCTTTTGGCATTTAAACCTTAATTTCTAAGTTATATTATGTAATTAAAAAAATACATTCTAATAATTGTGAAATATTGATGGATTTGTGATATAATCACAATGTGGAGAATAAATTGAAAAGTAAAAAAAAATAATTTAAATAAGGGTATGATATGAGTTTAATAAATTTGTATAATAGTCTTGAACTTTGGTGTGATACAACCATTTTTTTACCTCTGATTAAAATCTAATATACATAAAAGTCAGTTGTCATTTTGTGAGTCATTTTTAATTTAAGGTTGCACTATCCTGATTTATTTTTTGAATATACTTGAAAAATGTGTTTATTTCCTCAGTGTGTGATTGTTTTTCTTTTAATTAAGATGAAGGAGGAAGTTTGGTTAACAAAGCTTAGTAAAGGAAGGGTTGAGGCCTATGGTTTTTTATTTACAAAACTCCACCGAATCATATTTTTAACATGTGAGGCAAGGATAGTATATATATATATATATATATATATATAGAGAGAGAGAGAGAGAGAGAGAAGAAACTCAACATTCTAACTGTCAAA